ATGAAAATATATATAGTCTTTCTTGCTATCTATAGTTGTGAATAGATTGTGGTTTTTGTTTTGTATGATACATTGAGCAGTTTGTTGTGATGTTCTTTTGATGTGTATAGAAATTGTTGTTGTTATGGTATCATGAAAATTCATGTGTTTAAAGTTTAAGTAAATTTGTGAAAAGTTACAAAGTTTTGCATGGTGTTTGTTTCTTGGTGACTGCAATTTTTGGGGACGAAATTTTTTTTGAGAAAAGGTGAATGTAAGACCTGGAAAAATAGGGGTCTTAGAAATAAAGTAGTTGAAAATAGGAGATATAATTTTGGTGGGTTTAGATATTTAAAAAAAGATATTATTATTATTATTATTAGATATCATAGATATTTTAAATGATATATTTAGATATTGTTATATATAATTAGATATTATGACTAGATAATAATATTATATATTATTGTTAGACTCATTATAATAAATTAGAATAAAAAGTATTATTATAAGTAAGAAAATATTAGAGATAGAATTGGGTGGATTCATAAATATTAAGATATAAAGAAAATGGTTCCAGACATATGGTTCTTCATTCCGACCGTTCGGATCGTCAATCGGAGGTTAAGTTTTGGAGAAAATAGCCTTGCATCACAAGCTTTGTTTTGGAGCATTTCATAAAACCTACATTAGTGTTTTTTTTTTGCTGTGAAGTCATTCATCATTGGATCGGGCCGTGATTTGGACAGTATATTCCAGAAGTATGGTTTTTTTTTTCTGACCGTTCAGATCGTCAATCGGAGGTCTGATATGGGAGATCGCATCAACAACTTTGTTTTGGACAATTTTCATCTTCTTGGTTCTCATTTGTAAGCATTGTGCTTAGTTAGTTTAGATGATTGAAAACCCTATTTGGTATTTTTATCGAAGACTATTTTTGCATCTTATTATTGGGAGTATAACATGTCAATGATTGGATCTGGAGGATTCAAGTGATGTATTATATGTGTTTGTGTTTGTTTTCATGGGTGTGGGATGCTTGAATGCATGTATAATGTGTTAACTATGTTTCAACGTGATTTAGAGTTGATGTATGTATGTTTGAATGCTTGAATCATGTACAGAATGTGTTTCGCTTTGACAATAATAGATTATCATTAGTTACAATTGATTATATGCGCATTGGTTTTGAGTGTAGTTTCGAAAATAATCGATTATCTAGGATGATAATCGATTATCTGAGATGATAATCGATTATCTGAGATGATAATCGATTATCTGGGATGATAATCGATTATCTGGGATGATAATCGATTATCTAGGATGATAATCAATTATCTGGGATGATAATCGATTATCCCTTCCTATGTGATGTTTCTAGGTAAATTGCTCTAAGATAATCAATTGTCTTAAGTGATAATCGATTATTACAGTGCATTTTGGTGAAAAATGACAAAGTTGATGAAAAATGGACGCGAACCAAGCCTAAGGATCTGTGGAACATGATGATAATCATAGATTGAGGTTAGTGGTTATGTTTAGGGTCAATTTCATTTGAGGTTGAGAGTGAAACATGAGTGAGTGTCTGAATGTACCTGAGTATGTGATTGATGAGCATTAGAGTGGAGGATAAGTCTACTTGTTGTACCTCGTAAATCCTAGTTCTATCTGCGGATAAATATTTCCTTTTACTTTGTGTTCATTATAAGGAGATGATTTATAGGGGAGGCTACAGATGTCCTATAGGTGAGGCTATAGGTGGGTTGTAGGAGCGGTTACAGACGGTGAGGTAAGGTACAAGAAAGGGATGGACTCTTTTCACTATGGTATTATGGTACGGTGATGATCATGGTGTTATTCATGACTAGGATAGTTATGATGGTTGTTGAGATGTTCTATGTTATGTTATGTTGATAGTGGTGTTACTATAATGGTTATAATAAGTAGTTAACATGGGTGTTAATTAGTGGATAGACCAAAGGTTCTATGTGTGAGATGTTAGTGATGATATTAATGGTTAGAGATCAAATATCAATGATCAAAGTTCAAGGATTGGGGATCGAGAATCGAGTAATTTAGTATGATTGAATTGTTTATGTTAGAGTATTAGGAATCTTATTGTTATTACTACAATGTATGGGGTGTTTGATTATGATTTATATAATCAAAAGGTATGTATCTTGTTATGTGTTTGATTATGATTGGTATAATAAAAACGTTATGTATCTTGTTATATGTTTGATTATGGTTGATATAATTAGTATGTATGAATCTTGTTGTTATGATTGTTTTATCGGTAGCTTACCCCATACATGTTTGTGTTTGTGTTTTTGTGAATGAAATTGTTGGCGATGATCGTATAATGTCTTATACGTGAGCCGATAATGTTACAAAAGTTTCAGAGGCTTGATTGACTTGAGATAGGATGGGGAATAACCTTGGGATTCATTTAAAGTTATTTTGTTTTACAAGTTAAGACAATATAATTTGAGTATTTCCTTCGTTATTTTATTAATCAAAATAATGTAATTGGATAAAGTTTTCTTTAAGTACGTTTCCGCGCTATGATAAATTTGAATTTTATCGATTTTTATTAACCTGTGACATCTTATAAATCCGAGTGTTACACTACACCCCCCTATTTCTCCTAGATCTTACATTCACCCCTCCTCAAAAGAATTTTCATCCTGGAAGTTGCACTCATAAGGAAGCATACACCATGCAGAACTTCAAATGTTTTCCCAAAACTTACATAAATTTTCAAAATGCAATAATAATAACATTTTTTTAACCGATCAAAAGAACACCATAACAAACTCAATGTATTATAAATCATAAAAAAACAAAAACCACAATCTATTCACAACTATAAATAACAAGAAAGACTCTACAGATATTCTCATGATGCAAACAAACTATAAAGATTTAAACTGATAACTAAATCAATTCTAAAATATTTTACTCATTGATTACCAAACCATATAGAAATGGAAAATTGGGACTCTTTCATAAGAGTCTCAATAACAACAACACACCATCATCATCACAAACCAATTATCTATCCCACATACCCTACCATACCCCCTGTTCATCAGAACCACCAAATTTGAGTCATCTTGTCATTCATCACCGAACCTATCCTTTTTCCGCATCCATGGCCAAAGACAATCTCTTTCCCGCATCACACGACTAAAACAGACATCAGTAATCGAAGCATCCTTTTCCCGTATCACACATCCAAAGAGAACCTCTTTCCCGCATCGCACGGTAAAAAAGGATTTACTAGGTACGGCGAGATGACCCCATACCAACCTATCATATCTGCACACGCATACATCCAAACGACAACACACATATACACAATTCACACATGAAAACACATCGAGAATGTAAAACCAAGAATAACAAAAGTCAATAATGTAAGCTCTCCCTACCTGGTTTTCCCGCTAAGACTTTTTCCTAGAATAAACAATGCCATTCAATAACACCCTTAAGCTCTCATAGATCTTCACTCGATCAAACTCTATTTATAATAAAAGCCCATAAGGAGTAATAGTAACCAACTAAAATAAAAGATATAAAATAAGATTAAATAAATTTCTCTTTAACTTAATTAATTCTGATAAGTCTATCAATAATATATATATTATTATTATCTAACCATAATATCAAATTATAAATAATAATATCTCAATATATATTTTAAATAACCATATAACTGTTAGAATATTTAACCTTTTTATAAAGTATTCTTCTATCAGTTTATTCTTATAAACAGTTTTATGGGGTTGAGTTAGACTTAAAGTCTATTTCTTAACAATAATAATATTCAGGAATATCTTTTGGAATATCTAACAATATCTAATAATATTATTTTCTAATAGTAATATCTCTTTTAATCTCAAGATTATATCTCATATTTTCTTTCAACAACGTTTTAAAATAACAACAATTAAATCTTCAAAAAGATTTATATAATACCTTTTTATTAAATTTCCACATTATTTAATTTGCATATTTTTCCTTTCTACACCCCAATTTTTCCCGGATCTTACATTCATCCCTCTTCAAAAGAATTTTTGTCTTCGAAAATCGCACTTATAAGGAAGCATACCATGGAGAACTTCAAATGCTTTCCAAAAAATTTCATAATACAATAATAATAACATTTTTTTAACAAATCAAAAGAACACCATAACAAACTCAATGTATTCTAAATCATGAAAAAGAAACAAAAACCTCAATCTTACACGTTAGATGACTCTATTATTATCTTATTAAATGAGTTATACACTATATAAACAAGTTTATCCATATATTGATTAAACAAGTTTAATAATACATATTAGAATAATATGTTGATATATAGATTAGACGAGTCTAAGAACACATTAAACAAGTTTGTCCATGCACTAAGTCTATTTTTACACATTAAACCAATTTCTTCATATACTAATTTGTAGTTTTAAAGAGTCTATTTTACATGTTTCTATGTATCATTTATATTTTTATAAAATCTACTCTTGCACCTTTTATTTTTACAAAACCTACTATTTATACTTTTATAATATATTGACTTTTCAAACCTAAAAATATTTTTCAGCTTCCCAATATTTAAAACTTAAATATAAACTTTAAAAAATTATTATTTCCTTCATCAACCTCTAAATCTATTTTAATAGATATAAAAACAAAACACCCAGAACGAGTTTACAACTAATTTTATATTAAAACATTACTTAATTATTAAAATCATTTTAAAAAATAATTTTAAACCCAATAGTTTATTTTTTTCATTAGATTTCACCGTTATTACAAAATTAAATTCAGATGATGAATTCATAGAGATTATTTTTATTCAAAGCAACACGTTTTACAGAATCTATTTTGCAGTTTGCATTTGACTTTGACACCTCTCTATCCGCGTCCAGGCAAGTCAAACCGTCTATCTGACGTGGCATTGACGGCTTCTTATCCGCCACGTGTTCCCGCCAAAGTCCTATAATAACTCCCAATAAAACAACATTCATTTTCTAATCCCCATCCTCTCCTCCACATAACGATGCCGTATTGCGACGTCGGAACGCTGCCATCCTCCCCCGTCGCCGACTCGCAGCTCAACAATGACATCAAAATATTCTACAGAACTTACGGTGGCGGTCCGACCAAAGTGCTCCTCATCATAGGTCCTTCATCATCGCTCCGTTTTGATTTTTTGATTTTTATATTTCAACTGCTTTATAAATTTGTTCTGATTTTATGGACATTGAACGAACGGTCAGGGTTGGCTGCGACGCACGACGCGTGGGGCCCACAGATCAAAGCACTGACAGGAACCACCGTCCCGAACGACGACGACGACGTCGTTTGGAACGGTGAAGAAGGCAATGGCGGCATCCATGTATGCGCGTTTGACAATCGCGGGGTGGGTCGCAGCTCCGTGCCTGTGGAAAAATCTGAATACTCGTGAGTTGTTATATTGAAGCAACGCTGCGGTTTGCGATATTCTGCTTCTTCTTTCGGAAATTTTAATAAGATTGTTATCGGTGAGTTTTATTAACTCGTGGTGTGGTGGTTGTTGGGTGCAGAACCAAGATCATGGCGAAGGATGCAATTGCTTTGTTAGATCATCTGGGTTGGAAAAAAGCCCATATTTTTGGGCACTCCATGGGTGCGTGCCTAGTCTTTTCTTTTATACCTGACTTCTTAAACAAGAGCTTGAAGGGAAAATAAACAAGAAAATAAAATGAATTGAGGTGTTTTAAGTTATGCATATTTGTCAGATTAAACTTTTAGAGAATTTGGACTGCAGAGCTTTTATAAAAGTTAAAACTTCGCAAGTTAGATTTTAATGTATGAGAAAAACTTAGTTCATTTTATCTTTTTCTTTTCTCCTTTAAGGACTTATCCAGAAGTTATTCAAACTTGGCCTCTAGGTAGGTTTGTGTAATTTAACTACCTTTCATTTCATAATCAGGAGCTATGATAGCTAATAAAGTAGCAGCTATGTTTCCTGATAGAGTAGTTTCCTTGGCGTTGCTCAATGTGACAGGAGGAGGTTTTCAATGCTTTCCAAAGGTATTTAATTTTTCTTATGATCTTTCCGAAACCTCCAATTAGTGGCGGAAGAAACTCTTCCTTTACTGTTTCCATAGATGGGATTGAATTTCAGAGAACATTGAACTGTTATATCAGAAAATTAAGTTGGTTGGTTGGTAAACATCCCCTGATCTCTCATCGTCATCTTGCATTGATTGATGACTGTATCTTCAATATCTGGTATTTATCTTTTGTCTTCTTTAACAATTGAAACGAAAGAGTTGTTGAAATAGATAATAAATTTCCATGGGGTTGACTCTGGTTAAAGGAAAAAGGGAAAAGGAAACAATATATACTTTGACTATAAGAAAAGGAAATGGTAATTCTCATACTTCAGATGCAGCTATTTGAAATTGACCATCAAGATATTTCACATACCTTAAATACAGGAAAGATATATGTATGTGCAGTGACACATACCATTGTTTTGGCCGGTTTAGATTTTAGGCACCATACCTCAATCCCTACGAGGTGGCTTACTCATTTAATGTTTTGCAGTTGGACCGACAAACGTTCTCTGTTGCTTATCGTTTCGTGAAAGCTAAGACTCCTGAACAAAGGGCTGCTGTTGACTTGGACACCCATTATTCACAAGTAAGAACCTTTTCTTGCTTTTGTTCATTATTTTTGTTAATGAATAACAAGTTGTCTTCCTAACCTTTGTGCCCACTTTTTAATTCCTTTGATTCCACAAAGTGCATTGAGCCATAACTATAACAGAACTAAGTGTGGATAAAAAAGTTGAACCCCTAAATATGTAATCATATCAAAGAGTCTTGCTGTTATCATGAATATTAACATTGAGACGAAGGTTGTGTATTTGTTGTCTTGAAACAACTCTGATCTACAGTTACTGATATCTTAAGAGAGTTTATTAATTTTTTTTCCTTGGGGTCTTAAAGAATAATTTATGTTTGTCTCGCAGGAGTATCTTGAGGAATATGTTGGAACAGATAAGAGGAGAGCCATCTTATATCAGGTACAGTATACCAAGTAAGCTTATCTTAATTAAGTAGACGTTAAGTCTACTTGAAGTTTATTACTTTGTGTTGTAGCTGTGTGTTAGTTAAACAGAAGCACACAATACACATTTACTAAGATGAGTGAAAGATACAGAGGTGGTGATAGGTTTAGTGGCAAGGTTTATGTTAGAAGAAATATAGGAGGTAGGTAGTTATAACTTCCTGGCAGGTTATAACTTCCCGCAATTGTGTTGTGTAATTATCTATTATATTTTGTTTATGTTGGGTTGATTTTAGGAGGTTTTTCTTTTTGGCTAGGAAGGGGTGGACAAAAAAGGAAATCTGGAGAGTAGGGTCCTTTAGAAAGACCTGGTGGATTGTATGTTGATGTTTTTCTATTTTTAACATTTCGGTAGAACATTATGTTCATTTCTAATTAAGTCATCTGTGTTAATCTATCTATCAATAATCTAGTGATTTTTGAATACCTATCAATTTGGTATTCAGAGCCACTTTCTTGGTCTTGCCGGGGTGTGGAGTATGGTGAATACACGAATGGAATCCAGACTGGATGTAGTGGAAATGATGTTGCAGGAATTTTTGCAAGATAAGGCCCACCAGGAAAATCAGACTCATGAGTGCTTCAAGCGATTGGAGGACATGATTCGAGGCTTAACCGGGGTGGTCGAAACATGGTCTTGTAGCCCTACCAAGGGTGAACCTCCTTCAGTGTCACATATTGGTCATGGGTCACGTTGGGAGCAAGAGACAAGTCTCAATTTGTCTTCTTCCAAATGGAGGAATTGGACATTCTAGTATTTGTAGGGGCAGAGGCATATGGATGGACTCATCATCTTGAACGTTATTTTCGGTTGAAGGAAGTAAGTGCGGAGGAGTGAATGCAGGCTGTCATTGTTGCTTTGGAAAGAAAGGCCTTAAATTGGTTTCAGTGGTGGGAATCCTATAATCCAAATCCCACACGGGAAGCCTTCAAGGTGGTCGTTGTCCACTGGTTTCAACCAACGATGCTTCAAAATCCTTTTGAAATTCTGATTGGTTTGTGTCAATCGGGTTTAGTGGAAGATTATATTGAGCAATTTGAACAATATGTTGGGTTTCTAAAGGGGATTCATTATAATTATTTGGTTGACATTTTTTTGAATGGGTTGAAGGAGGAAATCAAGGTTGAGGTTAAGTTGTATGAACCTATCACTCTTCTTGAGTTAATGATGAAGCCCCAAATGGTGGAAGAAAATAGTAGAGTAATCTCCAAAGATGGTTTTTTCCATGTTCAATGCACTACTCCTGCCTCCAAACCTATTTTCGTGACTT